TAAACACTGAGTATGAGCTTTTATCTTGTCCCTCTCCATCCAGCTGTGTTTCCCATCATGCCATCACAGATTTCCACGTCGGGTAATGTATAAGTTGAGGAAATGTGTATCGAGTTGAGTATTCTCTCCGCACCTTTTCGGTCTGATGCACAAAAACTAAGTTATAATTAATGAGTGGAAAGGGCGGAATGAGGGAGTAAGCTGTATTTTGGAACCGAGGCCGAGGCAACTTTGACGCTTTATAATCTGTACCAAGTGTTCATTGCCTTTGTGAAATAACCAAGAGTTAATTACTTTATGTATTGTGCCTATCCTCCCGGGACTTAACAGCTTTTAATTCGTCGTTTTGGCATTGAATTTGAGGACTCTTGACGAAAGCCTGAAAATACTTTGAAGTGAGAAAATCGATGTCGCGTCGGGTACACCTAAAGATATAATTATTTTCTACGTGAAAGCTGCACTAAAGACAAAGGGAATATTGTCATGGTAATTTAAACGGTCAATTCTGCAGATAAATTATTGACTTTTAACCCAGAAAAAAAAACAATTCTTTTTATTATGTATTCATAATTTAATGTTATTTAATATCAACATCAGAATTAATCTGTACTGTAATACGAAATCATCATTTAATATAAATAATAAATATCCAATCGATGAGTGGTAATTTCAGTGGAAATAACAAATAATATCTCGGGCCAGTAATTCAACCTAGAAATTTCCAGAAAGTCGATTTGTGGGGAAAATATCTGAGAGAATAATATATGACTAATTATTTAGACTGATACCTGCCGTGAATTTTTCATTGGAATATTAAAGGAAAAGGCCAATAATGATTTATAATGATTTATTTGAACATTTAAAATGGAATTTCCTCGCACATAAAGACTCAACTGGCGTCTCCTGATGCTATTTTTAATTGGATCCAATCCTTCATGCCCTCGCCGGCTATAAAAATAATATTGACCACAAACTATAGATGTTATCGCCGTCGTTTTGCCGGTGGAAAGGCCCACATAATAATTTTCCGTAAAAATATGAAAAATCGGTGTAAAAAAGCATGGGGTTATGACCACAACAGGTGTATCCTGTAGCCGAATAAAGCGCACGTGTGTCCAAAACTTGAACACGCCAATTCTTCACGTTCTTATTAATCTCTTCTTCAACTGAAACTCCGAAAAACCTGAGACTTTTTATAATTCTTCATAGAACTTTGCGCCCGTGTAGTTATCACTCAGCACACGTATCCTTTCCCCTTGTCGTGGGATAATTGAAATTTTTATCAATTCATATTTAAACTCCTCAAAGATAATTACTCTCGCGATCAAAAATCCAGTCTAGACCGGGAAATTTTTTTTTTCTACTCCACCGAAAAATCGTCGCGGAATATCTCGTTTTTCTCGTCATACTTTAGTGCCCGTAGCTCTCTTAATTATTTTTCTGTCTCTAGTGGCGCGTCGCTTTTTACGTTTCATGAACTGTTATTCATCCACCGGGTATTTTACACTCTCATTTTTTTTTATTCCACACTTTTTTCCCTTTTATTCTCTTCCGGCTAAACGAATGAGCGATTACACACGAAATTTCGCAGGTGTAATGGAAATATTTATATCGCGAATATTCCCCAAAACTCACACCTCTGTGCATTAAGAAATTATATTAATATTTAATTAATGCCTAATTAATCAGTCATATCAATGTATTTTTGTATTACACCAATGATATTTACTATTTCAAAATAAAATTTTTTCAAGACCGAAAAATAATCATTCGTTATTGATAAAATATTTTCTTCTCTGTGTCAATTCGCTAATTAAATTAATTGAATTAACAATAAAATACTCGGAATTTTAAATGGATTTCAGATAAAAATGGTGAATCACTGGCGGATATGAACTCGTCACATTTGTCTCAACATTTTAATGACTTATTATTTCTCCTAATGAAGACTCAAAGTCATCAATTATCACTCAATTTCCAATGGAGGAGTATTTCACGTATCAATTGCAATACGACCAGTTATCCATATGATTGGTATTGATAAACGTGTCTACCGCAAAATTGACAATGCTGAATGCGTAGTAGGATTAATCCACTTGGAAGCGCTAAATCGTTCGCGCATCCCAAATCCCATGAATGGTCATTAAGGTCACGCAAGGACACAGAAACAGAGGCCCTTAGAAATGTCAGGATGGATCAGTGTGTATCACGCTGTGAATCATTGGATGCATTGTAAAGCTGTTTGAAAGCATTCTAGATGTCACTTGTGCTGTCCAATGCATGTGATTTACAAACAATTAAGTTATGTGACCTCGTTTGCTGTACACGAGTTTAGGGGTTGCTGGGGTAAAAACACGTTAATGGTTACACTGATACTGGATTTATAATTCATTCTGACGCAAGCCATAAATGATTCTGACAATATTTGCATAATCTGCTTTAGTCACGAATTACGGGAGGAGCAAAAAGTTTTTCTGTTCAATTCCACTCTGCAGGTAGAACTGATGGATTTTTTTTATCAGCGATTATTTGTCATTCTACTGGACATTCGGATCATTCCAAAAAACTCAAACTACCGTAATGCAAAAAGACTTGATGAGAACATTAATCAAAATCATTGATTTGTGTATTTATTGAAAACTAAAGCAGAATTTTATATTTGGAATAACCAACAAAGATCTCTTTGGTAATAAAAGAATTTTATTCTACTCGCATAACAGATTGTTCTTAATGAGTTCAATAGAATCATGACGCCCCTATTATAAACGAAATCGATACTGATGGTATTGTACCACTGACAGTACTTGATTAAACTCTGCCATGCATTAGCACATGTCACGCTTCCAATTGATCGATCTCATTGATTCTGACACACAGCGATCTTGTCTTAAAATATACCGATGCAGATTGTTCGAATTGAGAAGGCTATTTCAATCGTCCATTGATCCGATAAACTCGAATTTATCAGGATGCAGACACACCCGCATTACGAAAATTCTCTGGAACAACTTCTCTTGGTTAGACATCCGGCAGTATTTTTCACTGGTTTCTCGCATGAATTTATCAATCCACCTCTTCTGAACATCTACCCGGATCGAGATTAATCGAGGTAGTCGAAGTTGGTTCAGTGTTACAAGTACATTTTCGGCACCCTGCACGTAATTAATGGAGCCCACAACTTCCGCATGTTCTCTTACCCCAGTACTTTGGTACACACAGATTCTTCGGGGATATTAATGTTGAAAAAAACCGCAAATTGAAAATTCTTTGTCGTTGGGTAAAATTCCCCAACACAACAAGGGGGCGAATTTCAGATGGGTACGTTCAAATATTGATACTCAAGAAATTCACAGGCACTAAATTGATTAAATTTGGGAGAGATATAATAGTATTCCAGAGAGATGAAAAGTCAGAACAAATTTCGAAACAGTTGAGAGAAAATAAATATCGCTCCGCATTTAATTTTTCGATGTTTGTTATCCTCGAGAGTTTCATCAAATTGAATTAAAAATCAGTTTCCTCCCTTACAAATTGGAAAAAAAAATAACTTTCATGTTTCTCTCGCGTCTGAGGGTTTCGTTTTAATTTAAATCGCGAATAAATTTGAAATAATCGAGCGTTGGTCATCGAAAAAATTCAATTCCGAAGAAATGAATCATCAGCATGAAACGTCGACTTGCGTAAGTTGCCTCGCGCGATATCCACGAAGAAATCCGCGAAAAAATGCAAACCCCCGTGAGCTAAATGAATTAAAGAAATAAAGAGAGTAAAAAAAAATGATTCCAGTCATCCGAATCTCAAATTTCCAATACAATTAATTCTCTCTTGCCCATTCGATTGGAATTGCCCAAGGCAACGTGACACAGGAGTCAGCAAAACATGTTCGTCATATATGTACTAGTTTCATATGCAACTGTGACATGTATTAAATTGGCCAGGTAACTGACAGACTGTTATTAAATTTCTGCAATAACCCATCCAACTTCTTGGGAATGAAACTAAAGTCGGATCAATGACGCCAACAATTCCGTCATTGTTCCACGCAATCACGTGACACATCATTGAGAATAAATTTTCCCAACTCCAGTGGTTCCGTTGGATCTTTTTATTGTTCAGCAATCATTGAAATTCATGAACCTTGTAATATATACCGTAGTGTAAACCAGGCAACCCGACGAGTTTATGTATACAGTCTCGCGAACGAGAAGCATCTGTCTGCGATTTATATATAGACATATATACATGTACAATCTACATATGTATAGGTGAAACATGACACAGCTACGTGGGGGCAGTGGAAATTTCCACTCCCGCGTGGCCACACTTTAGTGAATTCGCATCAATACCATTGGCTTAACGAATGGCCCAAATATCCCACTGGCATTTTCTTTTGTTTATTATCACGTGAATTCTTAACATTAAATAACACCATCCAACAATACAACGAGTTTTAAATATCGCGATTGTACATGTCTGAATCCCAATAATTCAAAATTTTCGAAAATTGAAAGGATCATCTTTCTCATTTATTTTATAGAAATAGTAATAGAGATTTTTATTTTAAAAATAAAGGCAATTCGTGTCTATTTTTTAAATAATCACTCAGAATACTTTTGCATTCATTATTCTATCATGTTTAGCCTGTTTTTTTATTTTAATTATTGATTTTCAGACATGCGTCATTGAATGTCTTTCGATTCATGACCAGAAAATCAAAAATCTTGAATGAAACGGAAGAAAACGACAGAAATACGGACTACAGTCGCATTTTATCCACAGATATGTATGAAATCCCTTCGTCCGCGTGAGTTCTCTTGATTAAATAGTACAATAGTACAATAAGACTTTCCTCGGGACAAAATTCGATCACCGATTCAATGGAATTATATTTGTTTAACCGGGCGAACTAAAATGTTGAGGAGATCTCATTGATGTCCATGAACTTATATAAAAAATATACTATACAGAATAACAGAATAACACATCAAATGATTACTCACCATTATGATGAAACACTGCCACGACGGCACAAGATCAATTGAAAACAATAAAAATAGTATTGTGCTCCGACTGAACCCACCATCCAATAGGTTTCAATTCTTTAAATAATCCAATAACTATTCATCTCCCATTGAATAATTGACTATGCACCTTTTATTTCTGGCTAATTGCCACAATCCGTTGTTCACGAATATGTAGACAATATATTTACAATAATATATCACGATAATGCCTTTGGTTTTCCATTAACCTCATAAATTGATATTTATACTCAATTTTCCAATAATCCAGTCTCATGTACCTAAAAAAGAATCTGCAAAAGGATTCAGTGACTATGCATTTGTCTTTAATCAGGTGCACGGTAGTTTAATATATATATTTTTTTAGCGCTGACCTTCTGTTATAATAAAGAGGGCGTTTGGTAAATGAAAACATCAATCACGTTTCAATCACAATAAAAGATCAATTCATTGCGTCCATTAAGCACTTTCTCCAACCTTTTTCAATGGACAGATCCTTTTCAGCTTTATTGAGCGTCTTCGCGAAAAATCCTTCTTTCATTGAACTATCAACTGGAAAATTATAATGGTTTTGCAGGGTTTCAAGTGGAGATAATTAGCTAATGCATTTTTCATGGGGCTTTTTTCCAGGTAGATGATTCTACGGAGACAAATTTTTATTGTTGAGATATCAATGGGGATTAATACTTACATATTTCTTCCGAATACTTAAATTTTACGTAATGACTTTTCTCTGATATTTATCATTTTGTTGTTTGTGTTGCCGATAAACCGCCTCTGCTTCACCATATGACCTCCTGTCAATCTAGCCTGAATAATCGAAAATACGAAGATAATTAGAGGGAGTGAGTGCCAGAATTAACTTGGAATTCAGATGGAGTTATTCATGAGCTCTGATAAGCCTTTCTAATTCCCCGCATACAAAATATATTCAAATTTAATAATAAAGAAGTCAACATTGTCGATTCACGAATTCATGACATTCATTCTCAATGCTCCACCAGAAATCCGAACTTTGAACAATAAAATTCTGTAATTCCTCACAAACAAAATCCATTTGGATTGAAATGTTTATTAGTGAGTAATGGAATTAATGATGTTGTCAATTAACAAATCCATGGACAGAAGTTAATGATGGAAGATGGAATCGTCTCGGTTCAGGAATATTGTATTTCCCGTAGAATGGAGGGTATCATAGTCTAGGGAATTCTGAAGTGTTTGTAGGGTCAACAGGATCGGTCACGGCTGAGAATAAAAGATCGTTTTAAATGTCACTCCTCACTCGTGGGTGTCCCTGGTGCTTATTGATCTTAATTCCTTTTTATCATGTCAAATGAATAGCGTGTGGCTGACAGGGCACGAAACTAACGCGCGTGCCAATGATCGTCAGTTAAAATTGGAATAATTCACTGGGGGAATATTATCCGCGTGAAAATTATTAGCCACGGCATTTCATTTCTAATATCAAGTACGGGGAAAATTGAATTTCGTACTTACACTCATCGGATACAAACTGCTGGATTGCGTCTGCCCCTCGGAAATTTCGTTGGCCACCTAGCCAACAATTACGGTAGCCATGCACAAATTAGCTCGCAAGATCTACAACCAAAATAAATGAGAAACTATTATTACAATAAATAATGAGATAAAGTATCAATGAGTGCACTCATGAGACGATTTATCGATTATCAACAGGAACTAATCAATACTCGTTAACTGCATTTCAAATTTGTGACTAAAACGATTTTTATAGCAACACTCCATTCTACCTTTTTACTATTAAAATTACTGAACAATTTCGTGGCAATGGAAACTATGGCTTAATCAAATTAATTAAATCTGAACGAAGCCAAACACCTTTGGTTTAATGAATTGAAGAATAAATTGAACAAAGTTGATGAGAAAAAATCCAGGGAAGATGTTCATTCGTTGATAATAGAGATGCTGCCCTATTAGTGTGAAGAGGACAAATCTATTTATGTAATCACTAGAATAGAGAAAAAAAATTACGCAGAGGAGATTCTCTTCGTGCACTTTTCTACTACAACACCCACGCATTAGCTATACATAGGAAAATAGATCCCTTGTTCATTCTATGAACTTCATCTAGTTATTTTCCTCCTAGATTCAGTATTAAAATACCTCGGGTTGAGCTGCCATTATTGACGTCACTACGACATTACGCGAGTAAATCGGCAGTTTATGAACATTACACATTCACAAGAATGATTGATTTCCCAGATGTTGATTTTTTCCAAAAACCATTTAAAAATATACCCCGCCAGCATTAAAATTTGGACGCAGAGAAAAACAGCTTTTCAATGTAAAAAAAACGATTTGTTGAAAATGATTTGCATTCTGCAATTTTTATCATCAAATCCAACAATTAATTTTCTCGATCATTGAAAATTATGTGCAGAAAAAAATACGAATGTTCGGTGAATTTCGCAATACAGATTTTCATAATTTCGGGGATAAATTCAGGCGAAAGTGCTCATCCTATATTACGCAGTGATGATAAAGAAAATATCAACACCACAAAAATCAATACACGTATTACCCATCGATGAGTCATGCAGCACTTGCTCAAACCGCAGTAACATCGCCTGTGTATTTTACCCAACTCCCAGAAAAAAAAGAACAAGTTAACATGGGCATTGAACTTTGTGTTACCAAATGCCCACAAATTCTTATTATTAATTAGCACACGGCTAACGAGTCAACGATAACGGAAATTTACTGAGCAGTGACGTACAATGGGATTGGCCAAACGGCAGTCGATTAATTTGCAAAATCGATCGGTACTTTCTCAGAACGAAGTGCACAAGTGGATGAAAAGAAAAAAAACTGCATTGGGAGAGTGTTGTATAGCCATGCTGTTTTTGCAGTGTTGCCGGTTGGATATTCGTTCTGTGCCATCCACTCGAATTTTTTTTTTCGAATTTCAACTGAGAGTAGATCATACGAGTGATTCAAGTTCAATTACAACGTTATTTTGTTATTAAATGAAAGTCTTCCAAGTACATCTTAATTACGCGATTGATATTCCAATAATGACCAGTGAAATTGCGAGAAAAATTCCAATTTATTATAATTCACCAATTCCCAATGAATTAATTGATCCACTACTATGTAATTATGAAATTCATCAGCAATTATTATCTCGACGGAAAAACAAATTCTCTAAATTCCCCTCCTCGGGGGTAATCAATCAAAAAATCGGCAATCGATTGAAACGGAATATCTTCAGCTAAATAAATTCCATCCAAAATCTACAAAACAAATCACCGAGGAAAAAAATAACGTGTCCGAAATAAATTTCTTTCTGCCAAGCAAATGCACCGGTCACAAGTAAATGTACATGGATATTTACATTTGAAACGTGTGGATTTTCTCGGAGTTGGTAAATTTACTTAGCAAAAGTAATGATATTTCTGAGTAAAGTTTTTCACCGCGCAATTTGAAACTTCTCGAAGCGTCAGGAACTGATCGATGCAGAAATAAAACTCGAATTTTCCACAATCACTCAGCAAACTGCACTGCAATACTTAACGACATAGTGGATAGTGCATCTACCTAGGTCAGTCATTTATGTATTCAGTAGACTTGGTCTAATGTCTCGTCGTCTGACGTAGCAGAATCGTTTGCCGGTGTTGTAAACCAAAAAATCGATATTCTCAGCTCTACCTCCACGACTTCCAATCAACCTCAGGACTGGTAGTGGTAGTTACGGTTCAGTTACACTCTCCCAGTCTTTTAACTCGTGAAATATATGCTTTTCCATTTATCCGTTCACCTCAAGTGCTGGGAGTGATGTGGAGAGTTGTTGTGTACGAATTGGCCATGTCCATGTGGTTGCACAAAGAATAATCTCGGAATGCGCAAGGACGGACGTAAAAATGTTAATACTGAAAACACCTGTAATAGATTCTCCATATACACCTTATAATTTGCCGCTCAATCTCTTGGAATGTTTCATTATATTATCGACAATGAGAAAAATTAATGGGTCCGATCGATATTCATTTTTCCAGAGCTTACTCTCAATATACACTCAACTATTTATTTATTTATTTATTTATATCACGAATTATTCCCATATTATGAAATCTGGTTTCATTAAAAATTCCCGGAATTCCGTGAATATATAAATATTTATTTGTAATGTATCACTATATCAATTATTGTTATAAAAAATCTTCTTTTATGCCTCTAAATATTTTGGAATTCTATTGAATTTTGAGTGAAGCCTGCCCATGATATTTTTTTCTCTAACAGCGCAAATTTACTTGGCAGAGATAATTTTTTTTTTCTCTGTGTCATGTTTATATAGTCTGAGACAGTTGGCTACTGTTACCTCAGTATTTTTCCTCAGTTATTAATACTATTGTCAACGTTCAGACAAGTTCAGGGTCGATACTACAGCGGTCACAGGGCCTCGCCCCATTTTACCCACATCTTCCTGATCGTAATTTAAACTCGAGTAATCACTTTATTGCCACATCAATTGAATCATCGAGTGAGTGGAGCAATAGGGGAAGAGTATTTTTATCATCCATGGGTGGAATGATTAATCACAATGAGCATTATGAAAATTACAAAAAATAATTAACGGAAATGAAATGGCAACTGGAAGCAACTGCTTCTCCACTGCCCAACATTTTTGACTGCACGCCCCCGGAATTGATGAATATCATTGATTAATTAATTCGTTAGCAGGGAGGGAAAAATTGGGGTCTTTGAATTTAGGATTTAGCACTAGATTTGTATTATCCGGTGTAAGCCTGACCTAAGGTTGAGACAAAGTCCATGCAACACAAGTGGAAGTGTAAACTGTTTCATAAGACTGCGTGAATGAGTTGTGATGTGGATACTGTCATGGTCATTTACCAAGAAGTAAGATTAACTCGCAATCCTCTGATATGATTAGGCGAGAACAATTATGAGGAATAAGTATAACAATGTTCTTGAAAATGTATTACTGCTCGTTTGAAATCGTAGTTTTTAATTGCTTCTCTTCGCGTGTGAAGAACTAAAAAAATTATTCACTCAAATCTACGATTACATACTGCTAAATGATTTTTTTTTCTTTGCATTGACTGAAATTATTTTTTAAGAATATCTCTCTGTAAATTCTCGAGACCGTGAGAAAAATCAGTGGAAAAATGAATTGTTCTGCAGTCATTGATAAAATTCAAAACAATTGGCTATCAGAGTAATTTCACTCAACATCGCAATAAAATCTCCCGAAATGTTTCCGCCTTGTCAATTCGAGGAAACAATATTTTGAATTCAGCCATTTTTAACATTCCACTTTTAGCGACGATTTCCTCAATTCAACAAAATATTTCCTCTACACATGTACAACTATTCGCGAATCCGGAATTCTCTGCATTCCAGTCATAACACGATACATAATTAGGTCTGGTTCACCATCAATAATCGATGACGTTGAATTGACACACTTTAGGCCGGAGACCTTCGATCGCTTTTTATCGCAAATTCAACAAAAGTGACGCACTGCAGACACTCCACGGTGAAGTGTTATCAGTGTTGGTGGTATTGGTACCGTAACAAGTTCAGGCCACCATTGAACACTAGCTCCATGATCGTGTCGCTTGGTTGTCCCCGGCAACAATATAACAAAAAAGACCGAACCGACAGAACAAAAAAATCGGCGGTGACGAAAAAAAAAAACGTCCTTTTAATCCCACACAAACTGAAATTGAATCAGTCCGTTTCTCGCATGATTTCACGTGCATTCGTGGTCACAGTTCAAAAATTTATAACACGAGTGGTGCATACCGAAGAAGTTGGGAATCCCAGGCGTCAAGTTTAAATCACAAAAGTTACGGTACAACTCCATTCCCAGACTCAAAAGAAGAATCCCCCGCGAAATACTAATGCATCTCCCAAATGATAGCGAGAAAAACTCGTAACAATCCCCAGTACAGACAACCAAATGAAATTGAAATGGAAAAATAAGAAAATTGGAGGTCTTGATGAAGTCCACCCACAGTCAACGCGTTATCCCACCAAAGAACACCGCATGTTCCAGAAATAAACCCTAAACACGTCACTAGACGATCCGTATTTTGCTAGTGCCTATTTTAAATTTCCAGCTAAAACCACATTATCCCCAATTCGTCCTCATTCCTCTCCACTCAGTCCCCAACTTATTATTATCCCAATAAACAATAATAAAATAATAAAAAGCAGTTACCTCTTTTTTGTTCCAACGGGAGTTGCCCAACGATATCGATTATATGATACGATCTGCCGAATGAAGTCCTTTACCGTCAGCAATGTGGGAAATTAATGGTCGAGGGACAGATCCGGAAAACTCAAGGAAATCAGGAAATCAGTTATTTCTGATTTATCAGCCTCGTGTCTAACCTCAACCACAATACCAGCGATACCCAAATTATGCTCCACTGAAATGGCTCCTTTTGATTGAGTCCTCCTGGCCAGTGCTACAGGGGAAAAGGCCCTTATGTTTACACCAGTAAGACAGCAATCACTGGGTTGACGATAACCATCTGACTTGTCGATGTCTCACCGACAGAAGGCCGACTTATACTGGCCCCCTTTTCTAACTGGAGGCTCTATGTATACCGTACAGAAGGCCTAACCGAGAGACAGCCAATGTTTATGTGTATTGGTTATCGTGTGTGAAACGGAACATTTTAGTCCAGACACACCATTCAAAATGAATTTTCACTGTGTTGGTGTATTCCGTGTACAATGCCGATGAGCAACAGTGGGGGGTATAACAATGAGAGTTACACACTTGCATGTACGATGAAAAGACTCAAAAGTTTGAGATTTTCGAGATGAATATTATTTGCTGCTACCCTATTCTCCGAACTTGGGGTAAGATGCCTCTAGAGGGGTGCATTCTCCTTCTTCGGGATTAATTGATGGAGTATGGGGTTGATTAATGAGCTTAATTGGAATTGAGAGAATAGAGTTTTAGAATTATATTGACGATAAAATGTCAAGTGAAGTTTCCACACTTGCTGTGTATGAGTTATGTAAATTTCGCTTGTGTAATCACTGTTTAGCATTTTCGCGTTTTTCTTGTTCTTTTTGCTTTGGGTACTTGTCACTTGGGTTGTAATTGTTCGGAGGTTCGATGGGTGATTGTACAGTGCAATACCTATATAGTCGCACAGTGGTAAAACAGTTTTGCTGGGTGATACGCGAGTCGCGAAAAGTTCGCGAAAAATCAATGGAACTGTTCGAATTCTCAGACCGGAGTTTTGGCAAGCGAAATGGTCTCGGCCAAAGTTTCGATTGGGCAATAGTTCAAGGTTGGAGATGTGATTGGGGATCGGTATTTGTTACTAATACATTGTTAGGTAAAGAATTGAATGGCGCAAAGTTGATTCTTCTTTTGGTCATTATGCTGTCACGATATGCAAGAAATGCAATTACTATTTTTGAGGGCGCGTCTTATCAGGACATTCCTTATTCCATGAAATTATCTAATTTATGTAAAACTATGGATTAAAACTATCTCATTATCATTCTCCAACTTTTTAATTTGCAATGGCGAATGCAGTTCCATTCAATCTGAACATTTCTTGAAGAAATTTTGAATTTTTTACAGTAAAGATTCTCAAGAAGCAATTTAAATAAATGAACCAAAGATTCGAGTGATTGATAATTAATATGAGTTTATCTTAATATTTATTTGGAGCCTTTTAAAATTATATTGAGAATTATTGAATTGAATCGTGAGTGGACGTCTCTAATGACCCACCCAACTATAAAACTGCGATGAAATTGTTTTTAGATTCGAACCGCGTGAGCACGTTTCTCTTCCCTAATCACTATTGCCTGTGATTGGTTCAGAGATCAAAATGGATTGGCGGGTGTAGAAGACTTTTCGACGAAAGTATTTCGTGATCAACAGATTTGATGTGCACTTGTATGTGCGGCAATTAGAGCAACACCGATACAGCAGTTGCACCGATCACGGTATGTGATAGCCGGTCATTAACTTGAAAAATTAGTAACTCATTTAAATTGTCTCATTTAAATCCTGAGGGAATGGATAACCTGATTATGGAGAGTGACTTTGACTTTTACCTACCCAATTTACCTGATATTACAATGTATGGAGACGACGTATGATGTATGAATATGTCTAGGCAACGGGCGTCTTACTAGAAATTTAGCAGGATGAGATTTTGCCGCAGATTCGAAAATATTTCACCATGAGAATAACCTGGTGAAGTACGACGGTGGGGTGGTGGGAGGGGGGGTGGCATAACCCACCCGTGGGAATAAAATATGTACGCGCCCCGAGTCAGTTTCAATTTCCGATGGTTGTAATACTACGTTACCGGCTTTTCCCCAGCGGTTCCCTCACTCATACAAACGTACACCTTTATACCTATTCACGTCACTGCGATGCATTTATCTTGCTTTCGTACTTTGTGAATTATTTCAGGAGCGATAATTTTGGCTTCAGCATTTTCTCCAGATTTCAATGGCCATTGCAAACACGAGAGTTTTCTTTCAGATTTTCATGCGCCATCGTAAAGAAACGAATTTGCTAATGCCATATTTGTCATTAATGTTTGTCTTCCCACTTAGTTCCTTATCCACTGGAAATCCCTCCCACCTAATGCCTCCAGAAATTCATTATTTCCATCGAATTTTCAAGTACAGTTTTTCGTCACGATAAAATTTAATATTTACAAAAAATATAATGTGCATTCCGGAGCGGGAAAAATTGTACAATCAGAATGATTCCAATGCACTCGAAAAACTCGGCTCACTCCGATTGATAATGGCCACTCGGCAGCAATATTTGTAGAGAAATTCTGTATGCAGAAGTATTTCCGCTGTACAATCTTCAAATGATGTAGTCATTGAAGTAAGTGCTTTCGTGCTCCTTTCGTTGAAATTCATGAATAGAGAACGTGTAAATTGTCGGGAGATGCGGTACACCGGGGCATGATATTTGGAGAACTTTGTTCTATCAGCTTTAAGGGGTCAATGCGAGTATTGAGTGAACCGGAAGTATGTTCCCCAGGAGTTTTAACAATTAAATATTTATTCCACTATACCGCACTGAAAATATGTCCGATGAAAATTCATATTTTTTGTTTGTGAGAAAATATGTCATGTCTCTAGAAGAAAATATATTTCGGTTTACATTCTGAATTTAGGGATCCAGTATTTTCCTCAAATTTCAGAACCTCTTCGGGCTTTTTTTACCGAATTTTCTTTTTTTTTGTAGAAGGAAAGGGCAATTGCGAACTTTGTTGCTTGAAGCTTCAAACTCTGAAATTCGGTTACAACAGATTATTAATGAATACAGTCTGTAATTAAATTATCTCCATTCCATAGCAACTGGAAGCCCTCGAGAGACACTTGTTTATTTTAACATGATTTTTCCGGAAAGACGATAGCCGGAAGTTGCCAATGGCTAGAGCCAGATGAAAAGAGACAACTTTCAACTAGCTGAACACAAAACTAACAAGCACAAGAAGCGCAATCTGCGGTGAAAATATAGTTCAACTTTCTCCCTCAAATGGAATTGTCACGTGATGAGCTTAACAAGGTAAAATGCTTTAGACGTTTTAATTGGACAATTGAATGAACTACGAAACGAACTCGTTTACATGAAAAACCGAAAAGACTAACTCGAGACGCGAATTTCTGGCTAGACAATTTGAGGTGGAGGAAGAGACAAAATGCACGGGAATTGAGTGGACTGAGAGCAAGCAACAATGAAAAGTTAAAATGCTACGAACATCATCATTAGGGGTCTGCAAGTGAGCGAGAACAAAGTTCACCGAGACTTTGAGTTTTTTTTTTCACCACAAAGATGCCAGTTACCGAAACTGTTTAACAATTCAATCTCATCGTCAATTAAAACTCTCGTGGAAAAATATATATGCAGAAATTAATTTCGATTGCATCTCGAGTGATTTGGAAAATTTATGATTTCTAATTTACATTCGCAAAATTAATATTTATTTAATACTATATTAATATTAGAATCGATGGAATTCAGAGAAGACATGAACCTTCTCCGGAGAATTTATGATGCTGATAATGGATATCTTCAAATTTATTAGAAGGAAATTAGAGGGAGTAATGAATTTCCTGCAGTATGGATTGAATTTTCCCTTCGGTTTCTAATGACTATTTACACCCCCAATTGAATAGAATCAATTGCACGGGCTCGTTGATTTATCAGAATTGCCAGTTTTGAAATCTCTCGGATTGAAGTGTATTCTGGTTGTAAAATTCTGAAGCTTCGAGAAGAAACGAAAAGGTACGAGTTTGCCAATTTATCGCACGTTACATGCAATCGATATGCAGTTCAACACTCTGGGATATGGCTGAAAATATCCTCGGAGGGACCAAGACCGTGAGATCCAATCGCCAGTCGTGAGGAGGGATTTCCCGAGAAAAATGTCGGCGAAAAGCGATTTCGAGTTAGTCACGATCGACAAAGTTGCTGTATGATAACTTTTATCCTGATTTTTTTCCCGTCTCCGGTGGAATTCGATTTGCTGTTTAAGAATTCATCCTGACGTCTCCCAACCAATTTTATTGCAATTGTAATTGTCAAACGAGGTGGATGAAGAAGGGCATGCAAATTTCAGGGGATAATTTCCATGGGACAACAATGAGGGAAGCTTTCGTGACAAAAAAAAAATGAGTGCGAGGTACGAGCATCAACCGTTGGTGAATGGAAAACATTTTTTTAAGAAAAAATTCTCATTCAAGATTCTTCTTTTGTCCGTGCAGCATGATAAAACTCTTAGGGAGGCCAAGTTGCAGGCGAAAATAAAGGAGAGAAGATTAATTTTGCATTTGGGGATGTAACACTCGGCAATGAGCTTTACAGATGGAACAATGAAATTGCTCGTTATGAAAATCTAAACACCATCATTACAATCCTCCATGTTTTTCAAACAATGGTCGAGGGACACGTTGGAAAATTCCCACGAAGAAAATCCTGATTTGCTCTACAGAATTTTCAGATTCTCTCGGTACTGTTCAATCTCCCTCTTTCATTCCTTGGAAGAGAATCCAGAATGAATCCAGAGTTCCATGCGAGAGTAAAGAAGAGAAGATTAAATTTAGATTTAGAGATGTAACACTCTGCAATGAGGTTTATGCAATGGTAAAGTAGCATTGGTTAAGATAAAAATCTAAAAACGACACTTGGAACAATTCAACTAGATTGAACGAGAGCTTTTAACATGAGGAGGAAATAGTTCGGCCAAACTAAATATGCACGGTCGTATGACCTTATGGAAAGGAATGGAAAAGAACGTAAAAAGGTGGAAAAAGCTGGAAAAATCTTGGCAGAGTTCCACTGGTGAATATGACGAAAGGTTTGAAAGTTTTGAGAAAGCAACGGCAAAAGCGTATTCTAGTGTTCCCTCTGGTTCTAGTGGTTGTGCAAGGCAATAACTCGTTAACACGGCAAAATAAGAAGACAGAATTTTGCACGTGAAAAAAAGGGGGGTACGTAGACACGAGATTAATTGTCGGTTGAATTTAAAATTCTGTTTTGTTTCCCTAATTTCACGGGTTGGTTTATTTCTCCGCC